ACCTAACAGTTCAAAATTTTGTTTTGTGGCCTTAAACTCTAAAATTTCAGGTGGTCTATGGAGATGTTTATATGCTGGATAATGAAATGAAATGGAAAGTTTTGCCACCTATGCCAAAGCCAGACTCCCATATAGAGTGTGCATGGGTAATTGTCAACAATTCCATCATTATTACCAGAGGTACAATAGAAAAGCACCCAGTTACGAAAAGGATGATGCTGATTGGAGAGGTCTTCCAGTTTAACTTAGACTCTATGCTACTGTTTTTATTTTCACATATAGTTTTGGTCAATGTAAAATGTAAAATACCTCTGATTTATGTTCAGTTCCTAAAATGTAAAATACCTCTGGTTTTACTATCAATCGTACCTGTTATAGTATCTAAGCAAACATCATAACAGTATAACAATCCTACTAATAGCATAATAGTATAACAGTCCTACTAACAGTCCTACTAACAGCATAATAGTCCTACTAACAGCATAACTACATAACAGTCCTACTAACAGCATAGCAGTCCTACTAACAGTTCTACTAACAGCATAACAGTACTAACAGCATAACAATCCTACATACTTACTAGAGTTTTGTCATCTCTCCAATACTCCAATAACTTTCTAAAATCTTCTTCTGGTACCTCTTGTGGACGATTTTTTAGCTGCTCACGCAAGGTTTTATACTTGCTAAAATGCTTCCTTTTAAGCGAGCATTTGTATCGTCTCCAAGCATCATTTGTAATAGCAAATACGGCTTTCTTTCCTTCCTTTGGGATATTGTATTTTTCCTGCAAAAATATATATTTAGAATATTATATACATTAAAGTATGTTAAAAAAACACAAAATCAAATAAAAAACTAATTACATTGACATAATCCCACACGGGATCCAAATTGTGTTCCTCCCAATGCTTAACCAAATCAATCTAACTAGTGAAAGTGAGAGGACATAAATCTCAACTTCTTCCTAGTGTTCCCAAAAAAAAACTGAGTTCAGACACTGTCTTTTCATCTGGCCCAATTAGTTGTCCTTCTTCATTCAAGGTGATCTCTTGTCTATCTTTGAATTGTCGTCCATAAATTTTTTGACATAATGTCTTTCCCCGCTTTTTTGTTAATCCTGAGGATGAAGTACCTAAGGTATTACCTTCAGCTTTGTTTACATCTGTTCCCTCAACTTCCTTACCATTATAAATGCTATCATTCTCCATATATTCTTCCATTTCATTTTCTTTTGTATCTTTATTGTCGAATTCCTCAACTCTATTTTTTTCCTTATTTTTATCGAGACATTCGGTAAGGGGCTTGGTTGGACACTTTAGAAGACTTTTTTTCTTCTCAAAGGATTGTTGAGACTTGTTCATAGTATTGTTAAGGCTTTGCAAAATCTGAATGTAAAAGAATAATTAGCTCATATCAACCAATAATAATTAAAAATTCATTTAAGAAATCAATACATTACTATAAGAGGTTGTCCCCATTATTAGAATTAGAAAGTACTATAAATTACCTTTTTGGTTTGATCACTGGTGTTCTTTGAGACTTGTGATTCTATTGAACCTTTAACTTGATGATCCACCGGTGACTTCAATTTCTTTTTAGTATTATTATTCAGAGCAAGCACTTTTCTTGGCTCAGTAATTTCCTTTGTGGCCTCTACTTCCATTTGCCTCTTATTGCTATTGAGAACATGCACTTTGCTCGGCTGGGCAACTTTATTAGAAAGTTCTACTTCCGATTGGCTTCTAACATTACTATTCGGTACAAACACTTTGCTTGGCTCAACCATTTTTTTAGACACTTCTACTTTCAATTTCTTTCGATGGTCCAGCTTTTGAATGTTTCCAACATTGGTGTTTATAGGATTGCTTCCTTGATTTGTTGGGTTGTCTTTTAAAGCTTTTTCATTTTCAACCTTGATTTTCATCCTCCTCTTTAAATCCGTGCTAGACTTAGCTTGGAAATCAAACATAAAATCGTTCTGGTTCGTCATTTTCCTGCAACAGAAAGTAAAAACAATTACATGGAGAAGCAGAGGGCAGAGTTTCATATAAAGTAAAAACAAATCCTAGGATATTTTCCTGCAACAGAAAGTAAACACAATTACATGAAAAACAATTACTCGCGGGGTTTTTCTTTGTCCATTCCTTGTCCATCGGATTTACGGGGATACTACCATTTATGGAAAAAATATATAAGCAAAACAAGCAGAAAAGAATATATAGAGATGTCGATTTTCCTAAGTCAGTTGATTGGAGAAAGAAAGATTATAAGTTTAAATATATTCAGAAATATATGTTAGTTTTCATGTATCTGTCTAGTTTAAATTCAACAGAAATATATTCTGAAAGATTATAAGTTTAAATAAATCATTGAAGGGAAAGCACAGGAAACAGCAATCACATCAGTAATCAAGTCAAGGAAGAAACCATTGGATCCAAGAAAATGTACCTTTTCTAAAACTTGATTCATAATTTACTGTTCCATGTGAGCATGTTTAAACCATTAATATTGGACTCACCCACCAAGTGGTTTGAATCAGATTCCATTGTCTCAGTTTAACTAAAAGGGTGTTTTGTTTTGCACTAATTACTACATTATAAATTGAGACCCTCTACCTTCCAAACATGTAGCACAACACAACATAACACAACACACTTCCTCTCTTCAATTAGTTTCTAGTTACTCTCACTCTCAATACATAGTTAAAATGGGAGGAAACAACAATCAAAGGAAATCAAAGTCATCATGGTTTGTTTTCAACATTTTCAAATCTAACAGCAGTGACAAACAAAGAGATGGAGGATACTATGATCAAGCTGCTTATGATAACAAAGTGTGGCCAAGTTATGATAATAAAGAGATGTTAGATCCCACAAAGACCAACTACTAAGTACTGTTATCTATTGTTTCCAGATGTAGAGAAGCGGCACCGGATGATTGGGCTGGTGTGCAAGTCAAGCATACCGTTCACTTTAACACACCAATACACTAACTATTTTCCTAACTCTTTTTCAATTTCTAACAATTGTTTCAATCACCTCTAATCTCCAAATAATTAACATAACAGTTCAAACAATCCAAACTAACGTCAACTAATTTCTAAGTCCAATTAACTTACTAAGTGTCACTAACATCAGCAAAACATCATCTAGAAAGCCTCACTGAAAATTCAAACAAAATTCACACGCATATAGGCAGAGTATATACACACATCAACATGACATTCACACTGAAAATCACAAGCAGAATTCATATGCAGAAAAAATCACAAAGATATCACGCAAAGAAATCACAAAGATATCTCTAACTCAATGACCCACCAAAATAACACAGGGCTACAAATTATAATCAAATTATTACCTTTTTACCAGGATGAACCGAAAACTCACACACCGCCGAAAACTCGCACACTGCTGAAAACTCGCGCACTATTACGTTTGAAAATTGAGACCTATGAAAACAAAATCGTTAGATTTGTCGGTAGAGAATAGAGAAAGTTGAAGGAGAACATTTGCACTCACACAAGTTGAATGAGAAGCTCATATAATGTCAGATGGGCATAAATAGTTGTAACTTCAGTCTGTAGGGTCTGAACTTCTCCTGATACTTCGGATCTTTGGTACTTAAGATAGAACAATGAATTCTAGTTGTTCTGTGACATAATCAACCAAAATAATCTCAGAACAAAGTCAAGACACAACATTTGCATAAAAACTTTCACTTTGCACAACCATAACAGAACCAATACTCAAACTTTACATTAAATTCATTTTATTCTTTGAACCCCTACAACACAACCATAACAGAACCATAACAGAACCAATACTCAAACCATAATATGTTTCATTCATAACAGTACTTATTAATTTATATGTTAACTAACTACCAGTAATAGTTCAATACAGTTCAATACTTACTAAACAGTATTTATTAGCATAACTTATTAATTACCATTTACTGTGATGGGCTAACTACCAGTACCATTTACTAAACAGTACTTATACATCATAACTTATTAATATGTTAGCTAATTCCACCAGTTCAATACTATCTACCAGTTCCTAACTCTTTTCCAATTTCTAACAGTTCTAACAATTAGCAACTAGATTTACTAACAGCATAACAATATAACAACATAACATTTCTACCAGTTCTACTAACAGTTCTACATTCTGATATTCAACGGATATACAAAACCCTTAGTTATGGAACTGCTTGTCAAAACGAGTGAATCATGGTTTTCTTTTCTCCTGATTCCACAACTTTTATTTGTGAAGTTTCTACCCTTCTACCTTGTCTCAAAGAGCTACTCTGGACAACATTTTCAACTGTAGTCTGACATTAGAACAGTTCTAAATTTCCAATGTAGGGTATATCATGTTTGATGAGTTCAATAAATAATAAATAGTCTTGGAAGGAAACACTCTTCCTTTTGAAGTTGTTATATGATTGGATAGTAGAACTATCCCCATTTTGTTTCCCTACACAGCTACTGGATTGTGTGGTGTGTATGGTTGGTCTGTTATTCAATCTGGAGATGGCTGGATCCTATATCTAAAATTTTAGGGTCTACCTTGTCTTGGTCTGGTCTATGGCCTTGCCTATCTGTTATGTATCTGTAGAGTACTCAGACATGAAACAGCTGAAAGGTTGAATGAATTGAATAGAGGAAGCATGAAAAGATTGCAGTTAAGATGTAGTTTCAATTTCAAGTTGTTCATAGAATTACTTATAGTGCTCATTGTTTTATAAATTCCATAACAATTCAAAGAAGAAAAGGACAATACAACCGGGCATTACTCAAACCAGACTTCAATTAACAAAGCATGAGAAAAAAGTGTTTGCAACAAATAAATAAAACTTTTCTAGTTCCAAGGTCAACCACATAAGTCATGATTGTTTTATCAACTGAAGACAAACCAACTGATTAACAGACACAGAATCAACAAAATATAAATTAAGCTACAGAAACTAATTAACATCATGCTTAAAATAACTGATTAAGCATTTTGCATCCTGAGTGCAAAAGCATTAAGAACCTCTTGATACTGAAACACAGAATTATCAACATGATTCACCATGGTCTGTTCATTTCCAAAAGGGACAGACTGAAAATTGTTGTTAAACTCATTATTAAAATTCTCAAAGTGTTGCATATTGAAATCATTTTGATCAAATCCACCACCTAAATAATCGTTCTTTTGAAGACCCTTTTTAATCTCAAGCGTGTGATCATAGACAGGTGCAGCACTTTTCATATTTCCATCCCTATTATCAGGTTTATTAATACAAACTTCCCATATTTCCAAGTTCCATCCCTATTTAAGACATACACTAAGCTTTTTCTGTGAAACCGACTTCAACATAATTAAGGTTTGTGTTCTTGTTACAATGGAGGATCAGGGTAAGGCTACCTTTACCGGTATAGAAGGGAGAAAACCTCCTAAGGCTAAGGGTGGTTCTTGTGAATTGATTCTTAGACTTTTGGTCTTTGTTCTCACCCTTGCTGCTGCTATAGTTATTGGGATCGACAAGCAAACCAAAATTGTTCCTATCAAGATTGTTGACTCTTTGCCTCCTTTCAATGTTCCTGTTTCTGCTAAATGGAATTACCTCTCAGCTTTTGTGTAAGTTCTTATTATTCTCTTCCTTAGGCTTTGGTAAGAACCTGTTAACAATCTCTTTCAATAATCCATAATCATAAGACTCTTTAGGAAAAAACTCACTATCTTCATCAGCAGAAACTTTTGAATCATTATTCTAGAGGGTACAGATGCAGAGAAGCGGCACCGGCACCGGACAGATGCAGAGAAGCACTAGATAATTTGAGTTAATTAACTATCTCTAACTCAATGACCCATCAAAATAACACAGGGCTACGAATTATAATCAAATTATTACCTTTTTACTAGGATGAATTGAAAACGCGCACACCGCTGAAAACTCGCACACTATTACGTTTGAAAATTGAGACCTATGAAAACAAAACCGTTAGATTTGTCGGCAGAAAATAGAGAAAGTTGAAGGAGAACATTTACACACACAAGTTTGGGATGAAAGTTAGGGTTTGAGAGAATCGTACCATGAAGAATCAATATGGGATGAAGAACAAAATGTTAGAGTTTGGGAGAAGCTCGATGAAGAATCAATTTGGGATGAATATTAGGGTTAAGGAGAAGCTCGTACGTTTGAGAGAATCGTTCGATGAAGCTCGTATTTGGGAGGGACAATGAATCGTTTGAGAGAAGCTCGTGGAGGGAACTGAAAATTGTACTCAAGTTTGGGAGGTTTGGGAGGGAGAATGAAAGGTGAGAACGGTGGAGGGAAGTGAAAATTTTACTCGTGGAGGGAGACTGAAAATTTTGTTAGTAATAATATTTTATTAAAATAATTAAAAATTATATAAGAACGGCTCTAGCCGTTGCTAATAGGAGTCGTTCTCATTGCCCTCTACCAGAACGGTTTCGGGCCGTTGTATAAAATTTACAAAAAATTAAATATGCTACAATAACAAATTATATAGTTAGTTGCCTATTACTCTCTACGAGAACAATTTTTTTACTTCCTGAAAATTAGGCGTTGCTATAGGGTAAAAATGTTGTAGTGTGATGTGAACAAGTTAAAACGATTTTTAACAGTATCTCTAAAAAATTTCAGAATCAGAAAGGTTACCGAAACGATGTGATTAACGTCATTATTGGATGAGGCTTATGTTGTTGTGAAGTTGTTGTTGGAATCCTTGTCGAGAAACAAGCTGGAAACCTTCTAAGTACATCATCTTTCGCATAATTTCATAACCATGGTGACTCCAAAATGAATCGGAAAACAATGTATCCTCCTCGCACAATTTCAGAACACTCGCTTTAATGTTGTAATTGCTGGGCTGGAACCGAAAGTCGCTCCTCAATTTACACGAATAAACTCTGCGGAAACTCAACTTGATACGCGAGAGCAGCAAATTAAAGCGAAATTTTGCATACTAAGTTTGAGGTGTCAAGAGCTTGCACACAGTAACGACAACAGAAGGGTTATTGAGGTTTTCTAATGGTTTCTATGGAGTTGGCTTAAAATGATGGTTGGGTTCACGAAGGAGAAAAAAGGGTTTTACTGTTGCGGATGTGTTTCAGAAAGTTTGATGATGGTGAGAATGGAAACGACGGAAGGGTTTCGGCTGTAAGACGGAAACGATGAGAAAACAGAAGGTTTGAGAGGATGAGGGTAATGATTGAGGGTGGCGGTGAAAGTGAGTGAAGGAGAATCTGAGTTTGGTGATGATTTGAGATGATGAGTGATAAGAAGAGGAAAGGGTTTCGTAGGCGATCGTGGTGACGAAAGGAAGGAGGAGAGGTTTGGTTTACGACGAGTCTTTTTTTTGGAGGGGGAGAAAGAGAAGTGAGGTGATGGTTGTCGTAGACGGAAGGAGAATGTTGAGGGAGGGTGATGTTGAAGTTCGAAGGAGAAAGAAGAGGAAAGGTGTCGGCGGCCGTGAAAGTTAAAGAAGATGGTGAACGGGATGTCGTGGCGACGACTTTGTGGTGAGAAGAAGAATAAAAATGGTGATGATGTTAGGGTTTTGATGATGGAGACGGAAGAAGAAGTGATGATTGAGGGGAGACGATGGAGAGAGAATAGGGTTTGGCGGCTGGTTTTTTTGAAGTTGGGAAGAAGAAAAGCTAGGGTTTTTTCTGCTAGAAGATGAACAGTCCCCCCCCCCCTCCCCCCATTTAACCTCACGCCTTTCCCTTTCCATTTTTCTTTGCTTTTTTATTTTTTTATTTTCTAATTCTTTATTTGTTTTCTATTTCTTTTCATTTTTCTTTATATTTTTCTAATTCTTTTTCTTTTAATTATATTAATTAATTAGTTAATTAATAATTAAGATTATATTAAAACCTTATTATTATTATATTATTATTAACATATTATAAAATGAAAGTTATACAACCAAAATGATAATAAATCAAAAATGTCACGTATCACAAATTCATTGGGCTAAGGTAAAAATTTTAAAAAACACCCCTTATCAAATAAATATGCTAAAAAAATGAAATGCAAGCCTGAAAAATTCACATTAATTATTCTTGACGTTTTGATGAGAATTTAAAAAAATAAATCGGGTGAAAATAAACAGAAATCGAGTGACAGAGAAGCTTAAAAGAATTAAATTGAATGTACACAAAAAATTAACGCGAAATGAAATAACTTGAAAAGATACAGTACTCAATCAATTTTGAGAATCAACCGGGACCGGTAAAAAGGCTCATACTGGTCAAAAGTGATTAAAAGTTCATCGAGAGATAAGATGAGCACGCTAAGTCAGGTTTTAAAGGAAAGTAGGTCAAAAACCAGCGCCTGTAAGCTTAAATTCGAAAAAATTTAATCGTTGATTTTTCTCGTGTATTCGAGACATAAATCAACCAGTCTGTCTGTATATCCAAGAAAATTGTTCTGGCTAATCATTTTGTGAATTATTCACGGTAAAATGCCTGTTATGCAATGCAGGAGATGCAGAAATAAAAATAAAGTCAGAAAAATGAAAATTTTAAAAAGGTAGGACAAATTTGGGGTATGACAACACCCCATTTAATGATTTAGTCATGTCATAATCATTTTGTATATTGTTTGTGATTTTATTGTCTTGTTTAAGGATAATTGTGTTAAGTTAGAGTGATAGAGCTTAGTAGAATGGCTTAGTCGAAGTTAAAGGCTAAGTAGTGTGGTAGTAATGATATGAATAAGGAGGCAATACATATATGTAATATTAGTTGTATTAATATTAATATTATTATTATTATAATTATTAATATTAATATTTTTATAATTATTTACACTATTATTATTATTGGAACTATTATTGATATTATTATTATTAGTAAAATAATTAAGAGATAAAACCTAATTAGAGTAATTAGTGGAGGAGTTACAGTCAGTTTTGATTTTACGTGAAAAGAGATAAGGGAAGCTAGGGCTAGAGAAGGAGAGGAATTTTCCACCATTGTTGAAGGTTCAAGCTTAGATTTTAGGTAGGGAGAATGGGATTCATTAATGGTGATAATAACATGAGAGGGTAGTGAGGGTTCCTTTCCCTCTTAGGATTTTCGTGCATACTTTTTTCCTTGTATTTCTTGATTCTATAATCATGTGAATGTTGTGAAATTCGTGTTGTTGTGATGATACTGGTATGAATTTGTGTCTGTTATAGTAATACTGATATGAATTCGTGGGAATTTTTGGAATGTTGTTGTGTTTTACCATGTTACAGATCTGTAAAATTATGAGACGTAGAAGATGACAAAATTAGAGTTAGGTGATAAATAATCTTGATAGAATGATAGAATAATTATATAGAATGGAATATAAACTGGTATAGAAGACTGTTTTGGATCTAACTTAGGTGCTGGAATGGATTCCATTATGTGAGAACTCGTGTAGATGAAAAACTAGAATTTTTGGCATGCTCACTGGCCATACGCATTTGGCGGGAGGTCATACGCATATGGGGTACACTCCCAGAGGCCGTACGCGTAGCATACATGCCTTATCCCCAAAGCCAACACGACCTTCTTCCAGTACGCGTATGATACGCGTACGGTAGGATGGCCATACGCGTATGGCAGAGCCAGTACACGTAGGGGTAGCTTTGGGATAAGTTATACGCGTATGGGCTAGCCATTATGCGTATGGGAAATTTGAAGGGATTTGAGAGGGAACCCTCTCTGGCCATACGCGTAAGGGTCAAGGTAATACGCGTATAGAGGCTTGCATAGTGAGACTATACGTGTATGATACGTAGGCCCGGGGAAAGGGAAGCTGGCCATGCATGTATGGGGCATGGCCATACGCGTATGGGCAGGGCTGTAGTGCAATTTTCCCGTTTTCATAATTTTTGTCCCAATTTCGCGTGCGATGCAATTTATCTTGACCCTTAAGACTAATGTGACATAATTAGACATAAGGGAACTAGTAATGATAGAGAATATGATAAAACATGGAATTTTATGTGATTTTCTTTATGAGACGTGTTTGATGCTTGTGCGCCAAGATTGTCATTGTGTGGACGGTCTTGAGCGATGGTGGTAATTCTGGAGAGAATTATGGTGAGCATGTAACTCGTATGTGATCATTGAGGATCATGGTATTATGCTTGAATAATTATTATTTTGTGCATAATTTGTGTCGTGCATTCATGTCATGTCATGTGGAGACGAGCTAGGTGGGAATCCATCATGGGTGTCTAGTCTTGCCCGGACACTATGTG